CCCCCCCCCTCCCCCGAATATACGAGACGACCCCTAAGATATGTAACTCTTTTCGTTGTATGGGTCATATGTAATCCTAGTCACCCTGTTTATTTATATATCCATTTTAGATGTGCCGATTTTTTTTATGTCACTGTATTTGATAAAATAAATAATTTTGTTATATAAAATATACATAAATGTATAATCTTTATTTCATTCTTTTATTAAACGAAATTTTTAATTTTATAATTACGTTTTATAAGAAATTTCTTAATTTTTTAGTTTTAATTTTCAAGGTATTTAGAAAATTACGTTTTAATATATGTTCAAATATTTTTTTATTTGGCTATGAAGACAAAATCCAATCTTTTGTACAGTCAGCGTCATAAATACCGTAACAGACAAGATATGCAAATATATAGGTACACCAAAAGTAATCAATTATATCGGTACAACAAAAGTGCTCAAATTAATAGATACATTCACCCTGCTCAAATACATCGGTACATACACAGCGTCAAATATAAGAGTACAACCATAGCGTTATAAATAACTAAGCAGTCAAAATTGCATATCTTGTCTGCTACGGTATTTATGACGCTGACTGTACTAAGGACATACATACCAAAAAAATGATAAGTAACAAAAAGAAATTGTCTTGTAAACTAGATTTTTTTTTCATAATTTAGTTGTACTAAATTTGTATCTATAATTTGCAAAAGAAATAAAATTACTTTTGAAGAATTTTTATAAAACATAATAACTTACAACAGACTGATAAAAACATATACATACATTCCACGATTATTTCCAAATAAAACTTCATAATATAATTTTGCCATGCAATTATAAAAAGCCATTTAAGCGACTAAATTTATAATTTGATATTTTGTTGTAGTTGTATGTAAAGTACACATATTCATAGGTAATGTTGAAAAAAAAAATATGTTGCCAGTATATATATAGTCACCATAGACAATAAAAACTCTGATTTATTATCAAAAACAAATAATAGAAAACTCTATGAATGAAAAAATACGCTAGAATTAAAAAAAATGATTTTTTTTAAAGTTATAAAATTTTTTATTCAATGTTACCTATAGAAAAAATGTGTACTATAAGATATAATGTATGTGACTTAATTTAATAAAAATTGTCCTAGGAAATAATTTGTTCGATTGTAATTCCTAACTACAATATCATAAGGTCTAGATTTCCTAAAAGTCGGCAACACCAGCTTTTCCTTTGGTAAATATTATATTAAAAATCATCTGTTATACTTAGTACTTCATATTTATTGAATTCAGAGCAATGACGTCATAACGTGGTGGGGATGCATCCACATTTTTTAAAAACATATTTTATATTGCTATTTATTGACGGCATCCAACCTCAAAACAATATTCTTTTGAACATTTCGTTCGCAAATTGACAAAGCGAATATATTATCTATATTAAGGTTCTGAATTCAAATGTAATTGTAAATAACAAAAGATGCATTTAAAAATCTTCAAACATAACATTCTAAGATGCGTAGTTTTAATTCGTTGTAAGCTTAGAGGCAATTTTTCTGTAACTCGAACACCGCAAAAGGTAGTGATTGTACTTGCACATAAATACGTGCGAAAGAAATATCATTGTCCTGGATTGTTTGGATAAAGAAGTGATCGTTTATTCTAGAAATAATATAGATATATAGAAATAATTTTTGCCCTAATTGCATAACTATGTCTCCTCCTTATCGAATATTATCAAGTGGTTATCGTCACAAGTACATTCGTATCGTAATTACAATGCGATATACTTCTTAAGAAAGATAATTTGTTACAATTGTAACAATTTTACTAACTTGTATTACAGTAAATGAGAACTTAATCAGGTCCTGTTCAAGCATTTTCGGCGCCCTAGTCGAGATTTAGCGAAATAGCGAAGTGACCGTTGCCCATAGACATACGCAATTGCATATGCGTTGCCTACCTTTAATCGACGGAGGAGAGGATGCACGGAAAGAAAATAATTTCCCTTCCCATGCATCCTCTCATCCGGAAAGTCCACTTCCACTTACCATCCTTTCCTTATAAGAAAAAGGGTGGGAAGGGAAAGAGGATTAAATTGGGCCTCCGGAACGCACAGTCATCAGACAAAACGCGGAATAGCTTCCACTTCACGTATTTCTTCTGTGTGGTCGTGGTATTTCACCGGGCGAGCCGGGCCAATTCGTGCGAAGATGTTAAAGCGGGCTCTACCACTGTTAAAATGGAGATTTTGATTTCAGAAACCCACGGTAAAAACATAGCACTATATTGTATCTTTACCAGAATCTTTTATGATTGTACTTTTAGTTTTATTTGTTTTCACCTTTGGCGTTTATCAATAAATTGAATGAGCGCGGCCACGCACAGTTAAAAGGTCGTATTAAATTATGTTCCAATAAAGGAGTGAGTCAGAATCGAGAGCATGAATTTAATTGATAGACTCGACACGCTTTGTACATTTCTGTATGAGCATAAGATTTTACGTTACCTTATGTTATTCCTACGAAACTCATATTTAATTCAACCATAAATTTGTTCGATTTTGAAAAGGATTCATTCACAAGAAGAAGGAATTGTAATTTTTAAACAGTGGTAGAGCCCGCTTTAACATCTTCGCACGAATTGGCCCGGCTCGCCCGGTGAAATACCACGACCAAACAGAAGTCAGGCGTGAAGTGGAAACAATTCCGCGTTTCGTCTGGTGAGTTTGTGTCCAGGAGGCCTAACAGTCACTTCGCTATTTTAGCTATTTCAGGTGGCCTCTGGCTCGTTTGTTCTGGCACCTTATGTTATAAAAAAAGAACCTTTCGAACACAATCTTATCTAGAAGGTTTTTGGAAATCTGTTGAAAACGAGAGATGGTGAAAATTTTCTCATCTGAACTAAACTGATCATAATACTATAGTTAATTCGTCATAAATCACAAATTATGAACTACGAAAAAAGTAGTAGGTATTATATAACCTATGAGCGAACACGGCACGTATTGACCTTAATATACATTCCTTTCGAAAATTGACACGTTGAAACGTGCATCAAGGTTCGCCATCCCTGATATCGTTATCCCTGTCATTATCATTGACAAAAAAGAGAAAACATGTGTTTTACAAGGATTGTTCACAGGAATCAAAGATTAGTCTTATTTTTCGAATTTCGTAGTTATTTTACAGTTAACCGTGTACTAACTCAACTATGATTATTACTGTATTATTGGATATATGCCTATTGTTCTATCTTAAGTGAAGAACAATAAGTCATTGATGAAATAACATGGTTTATGATTTTAAGCATCATTCCACGCTCGCATGGTAATCGATTATTCACTCCTTTCTCTTTCGTATGATATTCACAAACAGAAAACGTTAAAGAAATAAAAGATAG